GTTCCAGAGCATAAGGTAGCTCACATTTGACACTAAATAAAACACAAAGTACTGCAGATGCTGGAAATCTGAAAACAAAAACAGAAATCGCTGGGAACACTCAGCAGGTCAGGCAGCATCTACGGAGGAAGGAAAGTGAGTCAACGTTTCGGGTCCACGACCCTTCGTCAGAACTAGGGCATGTTGGGAGGAAGAGGCTTTTAAGGGCTAACAGAGAGGGGGGAGGTAGGGCAATGAAGACAAAGGAGAAAATGGGGTAGAGGACAGGAGATGATGAGTTAAAGCAGTGTTAATACTGCAGAACAAAGGGCGGGGGAAAGAAAACTTGCAACAAAACAAGCAGATCAGGGAGAGAAAAGGTATGTCTGGGACCAAGATGATGTGGTAAAAACCAGAAACTTTGACTCATTTTCCTTTCTCCATAGATGCTGCCTGACCTGCTGAGTGTTCCCAGCGACTTCTGTTTTTGTTTTCATGTGTGACCCTGTCTAGCAAGCTTCCTGCTGCCAAATAGAACGAGAACCACTCTACCTGCTATGGCTTTGGTTTGCAACTTAAAAGGAGCTGAGTGGGCTCAATCTCTCCACCCTACTCCTACTGATGACCAGTCGGGCTGGTCTGTTATCAGCACTGGTATGGAATACTGCTGACCTGACAAGAATAAGTCTGAGCCATCATTAGATGGGTAGCAGGACCCAGGAACCTGCAAACTTCCTGGTGAGCAGCAGAGCTCAGCATGAAATGGTGAGACCATTGCCACCATCATCCTACCCATAACTCACACCCAGATTCCAACCTATTGAGCAATCATTGGAGGGTAAAGTAAGAGGGGATGGGGAAAAGAGCATGAAATGTCTCTCTTGCCATTGGAGATTGTTGTAGTCCCCTTTCCCGAGAGATGCAGTGGATACTATTAACTATGTTGACATCAACGTCAAGGGTACCCAGTGACTTTCTAATGTTTCTCTGTGTAAGTGCAGTTTTTCTTCTGTGTCTGAATGTCATAGAAAGCTTTAACTGCAGAGTGAAACCTAGAGTGAAAGGAGGAAATAGCAGTAAGCTCCTTTAGCTTGGCTATCCAGATCAATACAGATGACAGACCAGCCAGCCTGGCTGGTTAGCAGGACTTGGAGAAGCGAGTTATTGGGAGCAAGGATTTCTTCCCACCCGGCTCCTGCAAGCCAAGGCCCTATCAGGTAGTTTGGTCCTAACTGTTAGACAGTGCTGACAATGGAAAGTTATGCATTGTTAGACTCCAGCAGTATCCCAATAGGCACTCTGTGATCCCCTAGCCTAGGCCCTTGCCAATCATTGTTTAGTACTTTCTAGAATTACCATGCAAGAAAAGAATGTAAATTCTAATCCAGAAACAGGAGAATTTCCATGATTTGGAATTCTCAGGCTGGTTTGGATACTTTCAAGCATATTGATGGGTTTCTACATGTGTTAGATACCTGGCTGACCAAAACAAAAACTGTTCTACATTCTAATCCAGGAGTAAGTAAATAATTAGAAACATTATCTAAAACAAAAAGCTTTGAGCACTTCAAAATCTCCAGAAACTACATAAATATATGCACGAGGAAGAAGGGAATAGAAGGGTATGGCCTATTTCCGAACAGTACAGTACATTACTGTACAGCTACATGCAACTGGCTTAAATCAAACTTAACGGTCCATTGGCAGATCTGGCTGGACCTTATCAAATCTTATTGCTCCGCCCTTGCCTCCGCTAAATTGTCGTTCTACTCCAAGACAATCTTGTAGGCCAAGGACAACACCAGGCTCCTCTTCTCCATCACCAACCAGCTGCTCTGCCCACCCTTTCATGCCTCGCCCATCCTCACCTCAAATGCCAAAAGGCTGGACTTCCTTGAATCCAAAGCTGAGGGGATCCGCTCGCTACCTCTGCCATTCCGTCTGCTACCCCCTCCCCATCTCCCCCTCTCACCCCGGCCCCTACCCATCTTCCCTCCACACCTTTGAACCTGTCTCCCACTCCTTTCTCACCACTACTATAACATGCATGAAACCGACCACCTGTTCCCTCAACCCCATCCCTACCCCTCTTCTTACCTCCCAGCTCCACCTCCTTGCCCCACAACTTATAGACATAATAAACTTCTCCCTGTGAACTGGTACTGTTCTCACTCCATTAAAAACCGCCGTCATCACTCCTATCCTTAAAAAACCCTCCCTGGACCCATCTCTATTCTCAAACTACCACCCCCATCTCCAACCTCCCTTTCCTCTCCAAAGTCCTGGAACAAGTTGTTGCTTCCCAACTTCACTGCTTCCTCTCCCACCACTCCCTTCACGAACCCCTCCAATCGGGTTTCAGCGTCACCTACAGCACAGAACAGCCCTGGTCAAAGTGACAAATAACATTCTGCGACCAGGGCTCCCTCTGGCTCCTCTCAGCATCCTCCTCTTCGAACGTGCTTTCGATTTCCCTGCTTCCCTGCCTGGCCTCCACCCTCAGCTTGGGTACGAAACTCTGTCTGTCCAATGCCTTGGAACGTGCTCCCGACGTGAAAGTGGCTTCATGAATGTAATTTTGTTGTTGTTGTAGTTATGTAACATCTTATCTGTAGCTTGTAAAGTAATTGGCCAATCGTTCATTGAAACTGTTTGGCATACTTTCCTCGATATGATCTTTGCTCACGATGAAATAACAGCACTCAATGTTCACTGTTGTGAAAGGGCGGAGTATAGTGTGCGAAAGGTGCAGTACATTAATAACCAGAGCAGCAGGTTGAGCTGTCTGGATAATCGGCACTTTGTTGTTTCAAAACTGATCGGAGAGCAACGAACAGTTTCTTCTTTCCCAATTTGACGTCCATTATCCTTAAGTGCCAAGAATGCCTTACGAACTGGGCAACACAGCTCAGCATGAAATGTGTGAGAGCATTATCACTATCTTCCTGTAAGTTCAGTCTCAAGACCCTCCTCTTCGATCATGCCTTCAGTCACCCTCCGACCTCTCTGCATTCTCTCACCCCTACCCCACCCCTACCCCATGCTCGTCCTGACCTCTGTCTGTCCAGCGCCTTGGGATGTCCTCCTGACGTGAAAGGCGCTCTATAAATGTAATTTTGTTGTTGTTATTGTTCCTGGTAACTACCAGCCACTTAGTGAGTGCTTAAACCTACACCTGGTGGGAGCAAGGAGGTAAGTCGGGCTGAACTGTCTCCAAGTTGACATATTTGGCAACGGAATAACAGAAGAATCGAGCCAGCCCTCTTTGGCAGGCTCAGTAGTCTGGTTCCTATTCTGATGACAGGCAGGACTTGGAAGGGCAGACCAGTAACTGGGGGCAGGGAATTCTCCCACTCAGCTCCTGTAAACCCTGTAGTTTTATTTAAGAAATAAAACCAAAGTTCTTAGTGGATATCACTCCCAGAAGTTATGTTTGAAGTAGAAAGCATTAATGCATTTAAGAGGAAATCCGGTGCAAACATGAGAGAGAAGGGAACAGGGGAGTATAAGCCCTCGGAGACTTGTAAAGCGTGGAGGGCACTATATAATTGCAAGTTGTTGTTGTTGTAGTATAGAATGGAGATAGGGAGAGGGGCTCAACACTGACAATGACAAAAACTTTTCTAAACTGGGGCAAATGATTGTATGCCCTCGCTAATTAAGTTCGAAAAAATGTTCTACTTTCAGCTAACCATGCAAGATGGGACCACGTATAAGTGAAATGCTGTTTCAGTTAACCTGTCAGCATTCAATTCAATGAAAGGCAAATCTAATACCAAAATAGTCAGTGAGGTAGAAAGCTGTTACCTGCTAACGTTAGGTGTTGCTAATGCTTGCTCAGCTTGTTTCGATAGTTGGCCATCCACGGCCTTGCTCCCTCCTACCTCTCTGACCTACTATCCCCCTACCTACCTGCCCGTACCCTCCGTTCCTCTGGCTCTGGTCTGCTCCACGTCTCCCGCCCCAATCGCCCTACCATCGGTGGCCGGGCCTTCAGTCTCTCAGCCCCTAGGCTCTGGAACTCCATCCCCCAGTGCCTTCGCCTTGCTTCCTCCCTCTCCTCCTTCAAGGCCGGTCTCAAAACCTTTCTCTTTGACCGAGCCTTCAGCTCCCCTCTCGACTCTCTTCCCTCTCCTCGCTCCCTCCCTTCCCTCCCCTCACCCTGACCATTTCCCCCCTTCTCGCTCCCTCCCTTCCCTCCCCTCACCCTGACCATTTCCCCCTGCTCGGGTCCTGACCCAACTGTGCAGCGCCTTGGGACGTCCTCCTGACGTGAAAGGCGCTTTATAAATGGAATCTTGTTGTTGTTGTTGTTGGTAGAACAGGTTTGCTTCTGAAAAATGAAATATTGCAGAACAGAAAAGTTTTGTCCTGTAGACACTTTCAACTCACAGAGGCACAGATGCAAGGCAATGTAAAGTCTTCCCCAAAACCTTATTTCAAATTCCAGAGTACTTTCACTGCACCAGTGATTTCCTTTTGCATTTTCTTTCTTTCTGACTCAAAGTTCTACTCCAGAATTATTACCAACAGCATCAAATCTAAATACAACGCAATTTACATTTATATACATTTATACGTAAACCCTCAGTCTCATTGGCCGGGACACTACACATTACACCCACTTACTCTGAAAATAAATTGCTCTGTCACGTTTTCTGAATAGCTGTCTGTCCTTATACAATAATTGTCCCTAAATATGAAAGCTACAACAAAGTGAAGTTACTCAAAGATAGACACCACCAACATCAGGTTATCACTTCTTACATCAGACGATATTTGGATGCATTATGTAATGCTTTACAAAATCTGCAGGAGACCTTAACCTTTAAATGATCATTCTTCAAATGAATAAAAAGAGATTGTTGATGAAGACTGCAGCTGACATCAGCAGCTCAAGTAAAATAGGGCAAAATATTACAGCAAAAGAGGATGACACAGGTGACAAAAGTCTGGAGAAGAAAACCAACACATCCAAAGCGTTATTAAAACAACAACAACAACAAATTATATTTGTATACCTTTCACATCAGGAGGACATCCTAAAGCACTGGAGCAGAGTTTGAAGGACAAAATAAACAGAACATATTTCAACAGATGAACTTTAAACACCAAGTTGAAATGATCGCTGCAAATCAAAGACCTATGAAACACAATTGGAAAGTCAGCACATATTTAATCCTTGTTCAGAGAGTGGGCATGGCCAGCAGTTATCACTGTTTTTCAACATTGGTACATCGAGTTCCTAAGTTAATGAAAGATTTAGCCTTGGCTTACTGAAGATTGTAGTATGCTTAATCATTAACTACAACTGAAAGAGCCATCAATATTAGGTTTGGGGTTAACATCTAAATCACATTGTAGAAACATTGCAGTTAAACTAATGTTATGTGTTTAACTAAGTTATGTTAAACTAAGTTAAACTAAGTGTTAAACTAAGTTATGTGTTTTGCTTATCAAGTTCACTGTGCATTTAAACATCAGTTTGCATCTGTTGTTCAGCTTCCTTCAGTAGAACGATCAGGCAATCTGAACAATGTCCGACTGTTTAACACACGAGTGCCTCATCAAATTATCATAGATTATCCATTTTTATACTCCACGTGAGTCTCCAATCACTCCTTACTCCTCTCCCACTTCCTTGTTTCCCTTTCCCTTCATGTGTATATCTATAGTTAGATTGTCTGTACTGTAGTAGAATTGAAGGTTAAACCATTGCGGAAGTGCAGTGTTGAGCATTAAAAAAAGTGAAACCTACTGTTGTTTGGTATGTAACAATGGGGTAACACTTGCAGTATTCGATAATTTAACAATAATTTACACTAACATCAAATGATCAAACATATTCCCATATTCTACTGAATTGTATTCAAAATATTACAATGAGAGATAACCACATTTAATCACACCTCTTTTTTCACAAGATATTTGCTGACAAAACACAGTCAATTCACTTTACAGTATATCTTTGAAGCGCTTTGAGACGTCTCGAAGATGTGATAAAGCGCCACATCACTATATCACTGCAAGGATTATTATTATCCCACACCACTTCAGTGTCACATGTGTCCCAGTGCCCGTTACTGTGCTTTATACTCAAAACAGCTGGTTAGAGGGAAGTGCGGAAAATTCATTTTGTGAAGCTTTCCCTCAGAGGGGATTGCGATATTCTGGTTTAGTATTAGCTTGGCTCAGTTGGTAGCATGCTCTGCTTTGGCTCTGAAGGTTTGAGAGTTGAAGCCTTGAATTCAGTCTACTCCAAGCTAACAGCATGTGGAATGCCCTACCTGAATCCATATTTTTCATACTCAGGCTGTCCAGTGCTGTGGTCAGGCCGCACCTAGAGCACTGTATAGAGTTCTGGTTGGCATGCCATAACAGGGCTGCTGAGCCCTCGAGGCAAGACAGAGAAGAGCAACAAGTGTTAGAAGAATGAGCTATGAGCAACAATTAGCAAGTGAGGGCCTTTCAATCGTGAGAAAACGACTCAGACGGGATCTTATATAGATGCATAACATTTTAAATGGAATTGAAAAAGTGAACCTAGAACAATACTTTAGGATGCAGCAAGACAGTAGAATGAAGACATAGGATTAGAGTTGCATAAGAGCAATTTCAGGCCAGATAGCAGGAAGAGTATCTGTATCTGGAGAGTAATCAGCAATTGGAACAGGTTTAACAGGAAAAGTGACTGAGGTCAGGGCAATCATTTAAAAAAAATCTTGATGCTGTGATATGAAATTAGTGGGTTGGGTATTCTGAATTAAGAACAATAGATCGAATGGGCCGAAGAGGCTTATTCATGCAAACAAATCTTGTGAAGTTGTGATGTAAATTGGGCATGATGGGGTGATAAGACATTAGAATTGTGCTGCTCTGTGGACCTAATCAACAAATTAGTTCCTGTGGACTGTACACTGCTCGGCTTCAATTGGTACACTTAACAAATTGGTAGCAAATATGCCCTGTTTGCTTCTCTAAAAAAAATGCAGTTTTAAGAATTATAATTTTATATGTAGAAAATTGTGTTACTTACAATTAAAAATTGCATTAAATTCATTTTTAAATGCAAGAACAAATTTGACGGAATTCGAATAGTGTTTAGCTCACGTTATCATATTCACTAGATAAAGCAGACTGATCTCCAACCCCAGACATCCCCTCTGAAGGAATTCCTGGCAATGCCTATCCCCTAGTTTAAGTGTAACCAGCAATTTTTAAAACGGAAGTGCATGGTTATCTGTTAATTGAGAAACGTGGTTGAATCCCATTTAAATATGTACTAACATTTCATTTTAAACTTCACATTTCTGCAAAATTATTTGGAGAGAAATTAATACGCAGAGGTACATTAGGGATATTTTTCTTGCTCGACATCTTCCTGGAATCTCTCCTCTGCCGAGTCAAATCACCGACGCTCACCAAGGTGTCTAAAAATACAATCTTGGAGAAATTGCTGGCTTGTCCTGGTGTTATTAAAACTGCCCCTTATAAAAGGCCTTGAAAATCAAGTGCAGAACAGAGCAGAGTGGACCAATGCTCTGCTCAATAGAGCCTTTAGCTCATTCAGGGGCCATTCCACCCTCTGCACTCAGCCTGGGTGGGAGCCAATGTTTCAAATCAGAGACAGATGGAAGAAATTAAATACCCGAAATTCCATCTAGTCATAGCCTGTAAGACCATTTCCCTTAAAAAGTGACAGGCAAAGAATTGTGGAAAATTCTTAGATCGCATCCTAATCTGGAAGATGATCCTTTTTCTAGTACTGTGGGGAACAAACACTTCCTCATTAAGATTGATTTTAAGAATTTCACACGGTTCTGCACAATCTTAAATTTTAAGATAAAGTGGGCTTACAGGCTAAGACTAACTGGAATTTTAGACCTTAAGAGCCCAAATGAAATAGAGTCAAGTTTACTTATGATCTGTAATTTTCTGGTGGTGTCAATTCCGGACCTACGAGCATATGCCTTCACCTGCAACACCTACTTCAGAACCCAGCGAGATGAGAGAAATAAGTTTGAACAGAGAGAAGAGACAGCAGAATGGAGGAAAGGAAAGGAGTAAGGGGGGAAAGAGGAGAGGAGGAAAGAAGAAGCCAGAGAAAAAAAAGTATGAAATAAACGAAGAAAAAAGAAAATTAATGTAATTTTATTGAATGAAACAGGGTGATTTCTGATTTCGCTTCTCAGTGGGCAACAGGTCTTCTATAGATTCCCCTTTACCTTTAACTCATAGTGTCAAACTTACATTAGTTTTGTGCTCACAGTCTCTAATAAAGTAAACTCTGGTTTACCCAACTCCGGGTATTTGGAATTTGTACCTCGCTGGACCAGGCCCGAAACAGAAAAATTTAAAAAGAATTTGCACATATGTGTAGACTCCTGCTGGCTCCATTCCTATCATGTGCCTCCGTCTCACCATCCTTGCTGGCCTTTAGTGACCATAAATATGGACTTTGACTCAGTTTGAATCCCACGAGCAGAAATGCAGTTTATTCACGATCTTCTGCTCGTGGGATTCAAACAATTATAACACTAGCACTGGCATTTACTGGCATTTTTAGACACTGAAAAAAGCCGGCACCAAAAAAATAGACTGTAAAGTGAATTGACTGTATTTTTTTGTGTAGGCAAAAGGCGGCAGCGAATTGCACACAGCAGTGTCCCACAAACAGTCGTGGTTTGAAGTGACCAATTTATTATTATTTTTTTCTTGAGGGATTATTATCAGACGTATGGAGTAAGGAAACTTGCCTAAGGTTTCACTAGGTCATGATTGATCTGTACCTCAATTTCATTTACCCGGTGTTTCTCCTCTTTCAACATAAAGATACTTGTGAGATCCCTCAGACAATAGACACCAATTAAGACCATCTTGGCTGACTTGTGCATTGCATTCTTTAACACACATTAGAATATAGAGCACAGAAACAGGCCATTCGGCCCAACTGGTCTATGTTGGTGTTTATCCTCCACATGAGCCTCCTCCTGCCCTTCTTCAACTAAGTCTTCAAGCATAACCTTTTATTCCTTTCTCCCTCATGTACCTATATAGCTTTACCTTAACTACATCTATGCTATTTGCATCAACAAATCATTTCATCATTTCAAAGACCTCTATCAGATTACTCCTTACCCTACGGACCAATCCCATTTGTGATTAACCTGAAATCTTTCCCAAACACCAGTGAAGTTGGTGGAGTTTCTCACTGTGACTTCAATGCTCAAAATGGACAAATGTCCAAGTTTCCTCCTCTCCTTCAGATGACTGTGGTTCCTGTAAACCTTCAAAATCACTTCCAGCAGAGAAGTGATTAGGAGCGAGAAACAACCTTATTACTTATTGTCACCTTATTACTCTCATTGGTTTCATCGGGATGGCAATTGGCATTACTACAATATAAATGCGGACAGTGCAATTTGATTCAGTCTCTGTTCAAATCTTTCATAAAACTGGCCTCTTAAAAGTTCTTTTGTGGCTGCAGTCCATTGGACTACCCTTTAAGTTTCTTATTATTAAAGAACTATATTGTGTGACTTGCTTTTAATTAGCATTACGGAACTAACAACAATAACAACAAGATTACATTTGTATAGCGCCTTTCATGTCGGGAGGATGTCCCAAGGCACTGGACAGAGTACAGCATTTCAGACCTGAGCTGGGGTTGGTGGGGTAAGGGAGGGGAGGGGGGGGATTTAGCACAGCCCTTCTGCATGTGTCCTCAGTTGTGTATGTACTGAACTCTCCTCTGCTCCTCGTGAAAGGGATGTCAGCACAGTGGATATAATGTTTTGAATCACGTATGAATGGGTTATCAGTGTACATTATCTCCCTTTAGACTTAGGATTGTGTGACTACCCAGCCAGATCACCCTGCTTCAAATGGTTTGTACTACCACATATATATTTAGAACTTCCAAGATACATTTTTGTCTCAGTGTCACACATTTCAAAAACTATTCCTTTTCATGGATTTTTGGGCTAAACAAACCAAAAGAAAGTTGAATTAGCTGGCCAATTGGTGGTATATATATATATATTACTGTAACTATTGCATACAGTAGATATCATGCACTGTACTAGTTGTGCTGCCAATACTGAACACAGAAGTGAAGTACTGAGCTCCACAGTATTCAGAGATAAATAAG